CCCCGGTGCCGTCCCCCCGGTGCCGTCCCCCCGGTGCCGTCCCCCCGCCGTGTGCGGCCCGCGGGCTCTGCCGCCCGGCTCTCGGCGGCGTTCTCGGGCCGCGCTCCTTCCGTGGCCCTGCGGGGCCGGGGCGGGTCCGCAGCTCCCTGGGGCCCGGGCCGTGAGGAGCAGCGGGCCAGGCCTGTCCTCTCCCTCCGGGCTTTGCGGGCCGGTCCGGCCCCCCCGCCAGTGGGACACCGCCGGCGGTGCCCGCCGGTACCGGGAGCGCAGCCCGGCCGGGGCAGGGTCCCGCCGGAGGCGTTGTCCGGTGCGTCTGCGGGGCTGCCGGGGCCCCTCGGCGCTGCCCGCCCCACGCGGGGCAGGAACCGCCACTCCCGGGGCCACGCACGGCGCTCCAGAGCTCCCCGCCGGTCCTGGGCTCTGTCGGAGCCCCTGTGCACAGTGTGAGACGTTTAGTCCAGGGCTTGTGTACAGCAGCACTGCCTTCAGTGCCTGTTTGATTCGTTCAGAAGAAGGAAATGCAAGGAATTAACTTCGTTTATGTGTAATAACCTTAGAATAGAATAAATTAGGGAAAAACACTTCAGGTATTTCCCTGCTGTCGCTGGTACCTGGGGATAGAAAGGCCTGATTTATGCCCAGCTTACTGTGGGCTGTGCTGACACTTCCAGTGGGCTGAGGCTGTTGGGGGCAGGAGGAGAAATGTATTCCAGAGGGAAGGAGCCTCTTCCAGATCACTGCTGGTAGTCCCAGCGTTCAAAGTAAAGTCGCCCCAGGGAAAGTTCATTAGTCATAGGAATGGTGAGCAAAAGGTTATTTTCAATTACAGCCAGAATGCAGAGGATCCTGGCTCACATCCTGAGCATACTGGGGGTCCTTGTGCTCTGCTGTTCATTGCAGGGATGGGAATCCACACCCCAGGGAGAGCCTGGGAGAGCCCCAGTCTTGTCTCTGAGAGCTGCACTGTTTGCTTTATTGGGGTGAGGCAGTGGAACTCTGACTAACCTCTGTCTTTCTGTGTTTGTCTACTTGTGTTTGTGGGGAAACTGGCCAGCATTATATAACACCAGGATATTCCTGCCACGAGTCCTTGAGGCTAATGCACAGGACAGCCACCACCCTGTGTGCAGACTGTTGGCTTTGGGACAGAACTTAAAGCTGTGTTATGCTTGTTCCTGGATTTGTTCTCAGGAAGGGTTTGAAGAAGGCTGAGCCAAGCTCTTTACGGTGGTGTGTGGTGTCAGGATGAGAGGCCATGAGCATGAGCTGAGACACAGGATGTTCCCTGATTGTCAGGAGTCGCTTTTTCACTGTGTGGGTCACTGAGCACTGGCACAGGTTGTCCAGGGAGCCTCTGTTGTGGAGCCTCTGTCCTTGGAGATGTTCAGAAGCTGCCAGCACAATGGTCCTGGGCAGCTGGCTCTGGGCAGTCCCTTTGAGCAGGGAGCTTGGACCAGATGACCTCCTAACTTCACCCATTCTGGGATTCTGTGATAAGATCCTCCATGAGCCTTTTATTTGTTGTCCTTCACTGAATTTTCTCCAACAGGTTCCCTCCTCTTTTGTTCTGGGGAGCCCAGGACTGCACCCAGTACTCCAGACATGGCCTCACCAGTGCTCAGGAGAGAGGAAGGATCAGGTTCCTCCTGCTATGCAGCCCAGGATGCTGCTGGCCTTTGCCATGAGGGTGCATTGATGGCTTAGGCTCAGTTGCCCTTCTCTGCAGAGCTGCTTTCCAGGGATGTTTCTGAGGGATCCAGAGCAGTGGCCCACATATGCCCATGTTTTCCCTGTTTGCTATAAACAGCAAACCTCTTGCTGTTCATAGAATTGTAGAATCAATTTTTGTTCCCCATTCACATTCCTTGTCTTATTCAGCTGAGCTGAGAATATGATTTAAAAATGAGTTCAAAAGACGTGAATCTCTAAGACGAGTTCAGGTTATTAAAGTCCATGTCTGTGCAAATAGCTGCAGGCAGGCCTCAGTTCCTCTGTTTGCATTTTGAGGAGGTCGTCTATGAGCCAGACCCAGCAAGGCTTGTTAGCTTGAGTGCAGTATCAGATTAATGCAGCCAACCTGGACAAAGCCCAAGGAGTATTTTCTCAACATAATCCAGGTATGCATGCTTGAAATTGTGTTGCCTGCAGCATGTGGACAGGTGCTGAGCCCCATCCCTATTCCTGGTTACAGTGGATGTTTGCAGATGCCCAGATTCTGTTTTTCTTTTTCCATATTTCTGATATCGCTTCTAATCATTCATGAAGTGGTTCTCTCAGTCCCAACTGCATATTGTTAATTTGTAACTTTAGGAAGCTGTGGCCTAATACGCAGTTGGAAGATCAAATCCATCCTCTTCAGATGTGGGTGACAGTCAGGAAGAGGCATTTTTGCATTTGGGTGGTTGTTTTCTAAAATACACCAGGACCAAGACAGCAGGTTCAGTTCCTCATTGGGGCATCGTGGGAGTGGTGATTTACAAAACTGTAAATACTTTATTATTCTTATAATGAACCAGACATTCCAGGTCTCTAAATGAGTCTCTGGTATTACCAGGTTGGTGAGCAGTTGATGTTGACAGAAGAAATGTCCCTGGCAGGAACTGTAAAGATGTATTATTCTGGAATTCCATGCCTCAGTCTTGCCCAGGGCCGGCTGAGAAGTGAGCAAAGCACCAGTACTTGTTTCACTGGCTGTTGTGTTGGTGCAAAACATGGACAGTCCTGGTGTTCTGACTGTGCTTCTGGAGGAGTTGCATCCCCTAGAGCTCTTTGCAGGAGTCTGTCTGAGCTTGGTTTCTTGCTGCACATCTTTTTGCTTCACTAACTGCTGCTTGAGCATTTCATTCCATCAGCTAACGAACCACAGCTCGTGCCATTCAGTGTGAGAAACCAGGACATGTCTCTGCAAGAACAGGAGAAATCCAGGTTCCCAAACTGAGCAGACTTTTCACTTTTTGTGCCTGTTGCAAGTGACCGACTGTAACAATCCTGGAGTGTACTGTGTGGGGTGAAGGATGGGCTTATTTCTTTACTATTGGATCATTTATTTCCCTTTTTTTTTGTTCTTTTTCTTTTCTCTCTCCATCAAGAGTCTCAGTTCATGCAAACTGTCAGTATCCAAGAGATAAAAAAGAATGGCATGAAGGACCTGTGTGTGACTGCTCTGCTTTGGATACCTCCTTACTGCTGAGTCAGCAGACCTGTGAGCTCCCGGGAGCCCACAGCAGGTTGGTGTTGTCACAGGTGTTCACATGGCCTTTTGTGCTATTGATGCTCTTATGTGCATTGGGGCATTTTCTACTTCTGCAAAATCAGGTGGTTAGAAGGTGCGACTGCTGCAGAAAAGGAATGCTCTGCTCCTCTCCTTTGTCAATATTTCCCACTTTTAAGTTGCAATCTAAGAGTAAAGATTTGCTTTAGGGGGTCAGGAATGTGCGGATCAGGGTAGCCAGCTTTGGAAACCTTCTTCTAGTGAGGCACAGACACCTTGTCATATTAAAAGATTCCATTTGATGGAGGTAATTGTAGTAATGTAAACTTGATCTTCTGGCTAATGTGAGCTTGCCTGGCATCAGCTTGCACTACTGGAGCTTCTGTATTTGTGCAAATGATTTTGCCATTTCCAGGCATGAACAGAATCTGGAGTCTTTCTGTTAAGAGATGTCAAGTGTCACATGTGCCCTTTCTTCAGGGAACACTAGAATGATGATTCTGTGATTCTTAAGGGACTTTGGGAGTTCAGTTGGTCAAATCCTTTGCTCTTAGCATGTCTAATGTCAGTCAGATTGGGTTGCTATGAGTCTAATCCAGTATTTTTAACATCTTCCCTGTGCATTTTTTTCCTGATTGAAGTTGCTTGTGCTGCAGCTTGTGTCCTGTGCCTCATGTCCATGTGCTGTGGGCCTCGTAAGAAGTGTATGGCACTGTCTTTAGGTGCCTCAGAGGTGGCTGTGGGGAAGGAGCAGCTGTATCTGCTCCTCATCTGCCATTCTCAGGGCTGAACAAGCCCAGCATTCTGAGACTCCCTGTGCCTGCTAACCCAGCTCCCAATCATCCTGGGGGCTTTCTGCTGTCCTTGATTCAGTTTATCCCTGTCATTTTTGTGTATCAGGGAGCTTGAAAGTGAGCCCAGTACTTGAAATGTAGTCTTACAGGTGCTGAATAGAAAGGAGTAGTTGCTTTGCTGAACCTGCTGCCTGCAGTCCTGCCAATGCAGCTCAGGGCACAGCTGAGCTTTGCTGTGAGTGTGCTGCTGCCTCGTGCTCAGCTTGGCCACCAGCACCTCGAGCTTGTCTTCTGCCCCACAGTTGTGCAGCCAGCTGCTCCACAGCCTGCACTGCTCACGTGCTTCTCCCAGCCCAGCTGCAGGGCTCTGTGTTTGCCTTTTCTGAACTTCACTGTGTTTCTATCCATCTGTTTCTCCAGCCTGTCAAGATCCTTCTGATTGGCAGGTCTATACTTTAGCTTGTCAACTGCTCCTTAGAACTTGGTGAATTTATTGAGGTGGTTTGCATCCCACTGTCTTGGTTAATAATGGAGAATTTAATCTGTTGCTCTCCCCAAAATGACAAGTTATGTGTTGCTGGCTGGTACTGCTGCATATTTTTTCATTCTTCACTTCCACTTGCTGGATCAGTTTGGCTCCTGAATTTCAAGGAAAGGAAAGAAGGTGTGCTGAGCAGCAGCCAGGGAAGGTGTGCTCTCTCCAGACTGTTTCCCTGTGTCAAGGTCCTGTCCTGTCACATATGTGATGTGCAGAGGTCTCATCACCTCTCTAATGTGACACACTTGCATCTGCTTAGCAAACATCAGGGCTGAGTTCATCATTCCCACTACTTATCGGCAGAAAGCTTCTTCTGGGTATTTACAGACCACATTTGGCCTGTAAAGAAGTGACTTCATTTAAGAATCAGCCTTCTTTTGAGTAAACGGGACAGATCATGGTTCTGTAATGTCATTGTAAGAAAGATCAAAGTGAACTATGAGGATGACTTGACATCTGGTATAAAAATGTATTTTTCAATCATACATGTAGAGAGTTATGTATCCTTATGTATCCTGACACCAGCACATCCTCTTCTTTTATGTTCAGAGAGTGGCTGCTTTTGTTAATGGGGTTGTTTCTTTATTCCTGAGGTTTCACTTTGGCTTTTCTCTCTTGGCAATGGAGACATATTCCCTGCAAGCCTGGTCACTGCTGTAACATTAGAGACCAGCGTGGAGGGAGTTTATTCTTTTTGGCAATTTTGACTACCTGTAACTGTATTCTGACTCTTGGTTTTGTTTTAGGCTGAAGATGCTGAGCCGTTTGTCAGGTTTAGCAAGTACTGTTTTACAAGAGCTGTCAGGGGAGGATGGAGATGCAGTTACTGAACCCTCCAGTGCTGTAAGTACAGTGTTATCTAAAGACTTCCAGTTTTAACTGACAGTTTGGGGAGTGTGATTCATTAGACTGCAGTGAGAACTGCCTCCTGCTTCTTCCTTGCTGGCTAGACTGAGCTGTCATTTCCACTGCTTTTCCTATATTCCTCAGCTCTTAAGTCAGCACTTTTGTCAGGCAGAACATAACCTCTTCAGTTTCCACATCTCAAGGTGATCCTAGAAAACAAACTAGAATTATGGTGAAGAAAGACTTTTAAGAGTACTAGTGACTGTGTGTAGCAGAAAGGGGAGCTCTGCGTGACTGGGTGACAGTGGAAGGCCTTGTGTCTGTGCTGCCCTTTGGTACTGAGGCAGTGGACAGTGTGTGAGGGTGCCCTCATTTCAGATCTGCTCCAAACTGTGGTGTTCAGCAAGGTACTCTTTGTTTTTGTGTCTTGGTTCATGGTACCCTGAGCTTCCCTCCTGGTTTCCCCTGGCTGTACAGTCCTACGGGCTCCATGCAATGCCTGCAGGGACCAGAGTGCAGCCTTTGGGAGTGCAGCTGAAGGTATCATTTGGATGCTGTGCTGCAAGCTGTTAATAGTTTTTTTCCTTCAGAGCACTTGTTTCACTGTTTCAGGTACAAGCTTTGGAGCCAGAAGCAGAAAACATGGAGGAGGCACCTGAGGAGCTGTTGGAGCGCCTGGCCCAAACAGAGAAGCTGGTTGTTCAGCTGAAGGATTTGATCCGGGAAAAGGATGCTCTGCTCCAGCAAAAAGAAACTGAACTCAAGGTATCATTTCCTCCTCTGGGGACCAAGAGTAAAATGCTGCTTCAGCTTTCTTTGCAAGCCAGTCTCTGGTTTCTTTTGAACTCTGTCCCCAGGATGCTCTGTCCTTGAGAAGAAGTGCTGGGGTGGAAGCTACGATTTTGATCTGTGTAGTGTTTCAGAACAAATTTGTTCTGTGGATGTGTTTTAATGGTGCTGTTACTGTGGAGGTAGGGCTGGATGGAGAATGACAGACTTGCAGGTTGTGTAACTTCTCAAAGTGGTGCATCCTTGAGGTGCAGTCAGTTTGTGTCCTTCTCTTACAGGAAGAGCGAGAGGCTGCGGATGCGAAGCTGATGAAACTCAAACTTCAAGCCAAAGCCAAACTGGCCACTCTGAACAAACGCATCGAGGAGCTGACAGGGAAGGGATCACCATTGCCTGCACAGGCCTTAGCAGAAGAGCAGGAGCATCCCAAGGTCAGGAGATTAGGGCCACTTAAAAGCTGGAGCTTCTGCTGATAACCTGGTGCTGCTGATGTTTCAGGTCCCAGGGAGCCGCAGGTCCTATTTGTCTTGTTAGCAAGATGTTCATGGTTCCAGCAGGGATGTCTGTGCCTATGCTGTAGGAAGCTGATCTGTCCAGCTTCCTTGTACTGCAGATGCCCTTGGAATGCTCAGTTTGATCTCCTTAAGGACCTGGGCCAGTTTCCCTTGCATAACTTTGGTAATCCATTGTAGCCAAGGTCTTTCCTGCAGGAATTGTGTGTCTGTCTGAGCTGTGAGTTCCAGTGTTACCTGTTATGTGAGTATAGCAAAGGAGTACAAGAACAAGGAGGTCTTTAAAACTAAAAGGCAATAACTTAAATATTAAAAAAAATACATATGAATATATTTTCCAGCCACGTAACTTCCTCAGCCACCACAAAGTTTTATGGTTGACAAGCCCTGATTGTGTAACCCTAGATAAAAACTGAGGGGAACAGAGACATTAAAGAAGCTGTAAGCTATTAGCTAGAAACTCCCATTGGAGCTGGTAATTTTTGAAAACTTAACTGTCTGCTGACCACATAGTTTTCTTTAAAAAGTTAGTAATATTAAGCAATGGAAATGGGATAGAAGTCTAAAGAGAATGCAAAACATCAGATGATGTTCATTAAACAAGAGAAGATAAAGGTTATTTCAGACACTGAAAAAAAAATTAAAATATTATAGGAAACATTAAAAGGTGAATGTGAGAGCTGTCAGGTGAGAGGTGACTACTAGTGGAGTGAAGATTGGTTCTATGACTTGTGATGACTATTTTTGATTGAGAGCATCATAAAAATCATAGAAATGTGCTACTGTAATTCATTTCACAATACCATCTTGAGAATCTTTCTTAATGCAAAGCACCATCTGGTTTTCATACATGAAGAATTGGAGGATCTTGAGGATTGTCATAATATAAAAATAAAGCAAAATTTAACAAGTGCACAGTCGAGCACTTGTGATGTCCTGCCACTGTATCCTGCGAGGCCAGAACCACGTTTCGTGGCTGCAGAGGCCAGTGGAGGCCATGGGGGCTGTTCAGCTGTGTCCCTTGGCTGATGAGGTTCTTTTTTAGCTTATCCCTGTGCAGCATGTGTGTGTTACAGCTGTGTGCTCTGCGTTACTTTGTGTGGACTTGCTGTTGAGGACTGGTGAGTGTTCTTGCTTCAAAATTCAAATTTATCCGTTGAAGAACATGTTGTATGTTCTGCTCACTTGGAATCAGGAGAGATAAATTCTGAGAGCAGCAAAAGACTTTCTGTTCTGCTGTGATGTTGACAGCTGCACTTACCAGACATTCGAATATCTTGGTTATTTAGTCAGCTAGTGTCAGAGAGGAAACACTTCATTCTACAATTGTATGAGGAAGGTGAGCACCAGGAAAGTGGGAGAGCTGTTAGAGTGAAAGGATAGTGCAGGTGAATGGATGAATGTAAATTAGCCATTAAGAAAAATGGCCTTTTAATTAGAGGAATGAGGTCTTGAGACAGTCTCCAGTGGACATGGTATGGGCCAGAGCCTTATTTGGTTTGAGTTAGAACATAGTTTGAGTGAAATTATATTAGGGCAGTTACCTGCAATATTATGTATTTGACCCAGAAAGCATTTTCTAGATTCTTTCTTGTAAGGTTAGACCTGCTGAGAACCCTCAGAGTCCTTTATTCACACTTATTTCTCCAAGTAGATGCTGTCTTGAGTAATAGTGGTATTTCCTAGACAGATACCATCATTTGAAGATGAAAAATTTAGATTAGCTTTGCATGTTGTGCTGAAGCATAGAACATTAGCAAAGGGCTGGTTTTTTTCCTGTCCATGGTGTGGGCCCCATGGGAAGGCTGTATTTTTAAATATCTAATTAGTACTATTACTTTCTGGGCTTTTAGCAAAGTGCCTTATTTTGAGAAGAATGGAAATATCAGTTTGTATCATTCTATGAGGTAATATTTGTATACAGAACAACTGAGGCACCTCTTAAACTTTAAAAGTGGGTAAAGATAAATTATGTTCAGGTATAAGAGCTTATACATTTTGGAAAAACATCATATTTGAAAGCTTGAGCTGTGGAAACTTTATGGCTGTGCTGGTCTCCTCAGTTGTGGCCCTCTGTGTAGTGACCAGTGTGCAAGGACTTTATAAGAAGCTTTTCCAAATTCGACCATAAAAGTCAATCCTGAAAGCTAATTACAAGTAAGCAAACTAATCCACTCATCTTGCCCCCTGGCAACTGCTCTGTCCCAGCATTATAAGTTATGTATATCCCTGGCTCCTTAGAGCTTCCTGCATTTCTGTTCTTTCTTTTCTGTCCTGTTCTATTTCTAAACTTAAATACAATTAAAGCTTTCTTGTTTGTCTGTCTGTTCTACCTACTGCCAAAGACCATCTCTGTGGGTGAAACATCTTCTGAGGAACAGTAACCTCTTGCTTATTACACTGACTTATAAGTCCTTCTGAAAGCCTTCCTAAACTTTTCAGAATGGCTTTAAGGACATAAATACTGTGTAGAACCCCTGTGTTATTGGTGGTCTTTGACCCAATACCTGTCAGAAGGAAAAGGAAAGAGATGCATCTTGTATTTATTCAGTATGAAATACCCACCACTGAGTGCAGGAACTGGGAGTACTGAGCTGAGAACGCAGAGGGTGTTTGTCCTGCTCAGTGACAGGTGATGTGCTGGCCCTGCCCTCACACGGGTGTGAAGCACAGCTGGGGTGTCCTACAATGTTTAGTGTTTGTCCCTTTGTCACATGGAGAATATTCTTCTGTATCGAATCAAAAGATGTTTTTATTTCTGGTATTAAAAGAATCTGTGATGGTAAAAAGCCCCACAAATCAAGGTGGTCATACTGTAAATGATGTATTAAATTGTGTTTAATAATCTGATTTACCTTAGTTTATCTGGGAAGCAGTCACGGACGATTCGCTGTTCCAAGTGATTTGACACTTCCCAGTTAAAGGTATCTTGTGCATTTTGTGCATATCTGCACAGAAATAGGGAAAATAGTTACTCAGCATAGGACAACTTCATTTAAAGAAACAAAGGAAATGTAAAGTTAAGAAATGAAGCAATGTAGTAGAAATAAGTGTCTGGTTAGGAGTCAAGAGTGCAGTAGCATTCTAGTTTGGGGTTTTTTTAAATTAACCAGTAATACTGACAAATTTACTTTCTTCTGTTTATCTTCTTCCCAATTCTTTCCTCTTGCAATGTCAGAATAATGAAAATACGAGTGAAGGGCACAGAGAGGAAGTGGAAGTACTGAAAGAGCAGCTCAGGGAGCGAGAGGAGACTGTTCAGGACCTGAAGGAACAGCTGGCTCTAGCCAAAGGGAATCTGGAAGATGCTGAAATCAAGTATGCAACACAGGTACAGAAGTTTTTTCCATTCATCAGTCTGTGTGTTTCCCACCCCACCACTTACACCAGTATGATAGAATAGAACAGTGTTTACACAACTGGTCTTTAATTCCCTTACCCTCTATTTTTTCAGTTTTATTCCTCCTCAAATCACCTAGGTCCATCAATTCCCATGCCTTTGGTTCCTCCTCTAAATATTCAACAAGTCTTTCCCAATCCCCAAGTGCTCTTCACCTGCCCCCCATAGTACATCCTCTGCCCCCAGGCCAGAACCACCCTTGGTGCAAAAGGTGCTCCACAGGTAAGAGAGGGGTTTCACCCTTGGACAGTGGGACTGATGGCTCTCTGAGGAGGGGAAGACAGTCCCTGGAAGGGCCTGGGCAGGCTGTTCCTTCCTCAGAGTTGGAATTTTGATTCTTCCCTGCCTGCCCTTGCTGTTCTGTGATGGGCTTTGCAGTCACTGGGGAGCACTGCAGTGTTCTTCCAGCTGCCACTGTCCATCCTGCTGTGGGTGTGCAGGGCAGCTGCTCCTCACAGGGTCTAACAGCTGCTATTGGATATTGGAGTTATTTATGGAAAGAGTTTTGGTAATACTCTAAATTGCAGGTTTAGCTTTTGAACTGTGAATTGGGCTGCATCCTACACAAATAAAACCCCAGAAGTTTTATGAACTGTTAATTACATAGTAATCATATGTTTTATTGTTCTGCATATTTGTAGATGAAATTCTATGCTTTTTGCTTTCTGGGATCTGAAATATTATCAGGTTTTTTTTTTATTTTATGGCTTATGTTTTCAGCTGAGCTCCCTGCAGGAGGTGATTCAGGAGAAGGAAGCTCTTCTGGAAGAGCAGAGGCACCAGCATCAAGCTGAATTGCTTAAGATGGTGGCCCAGTCAGATCTGGAAGTAGAGATGCAACAGGTATATTTGATATAATAATCTTTTTATGGGAGGAGGAAGGAAAAGGAATTTTACCAGAAGACACCCTGAGAGAGCAGTTCACATTAAAGTAACTCAGAAGGGATGAGAAGAGAGATGATTTGATTGTTTGGAGTTTTTTGGAATGCTAGTTCAGGCTTTGAGTCCTAGCTTTGATCTGCTGGTTTGCTATCAGTTGAAAAGAAAGAACAGTTAAAAAAAAAAGGTATTAAATCACTGTGCTCCAGTTCCCTATTTGTGAAGCAATGGTGAGCTCTTCCTGCTGCACCAGGGCTCCAGAATTGGTGTCTACAAAGATGAAGTGATTTAGGCTGTTAAAGTAACTGTGTTATGAAAACCAGGTGTATGATGAAAGCAGGGAATCTATGTGCCTGTCTCGTGTGAGCCTCCCCAGCTCTGGAACAGCCTTTTCTCTCTCCCAGAACCTGCGCACTCTCCAGAGGAAGCTCGAGGAGCAGGAGGCAGCTCTGCTGGGGCGAACTCAGGTGGTAGAACTGCTGCAGCAGGAGCTACACTCTGCTGAACAACAAAACCAGGTACCTGGTCATGCTTTTTCTTGCTTTGCTCTCGTGTGTGTGTGGTGGATGGTGCCTTTGTCAGCAGCTTGGAGGTTCCCAGATTAGCTTGTTTCTGGTGCCAGGTTTCCATCCTGAAATCAGCTGGGGCCTCCCTCAGGTCAGGTGTTAGAGCTTGCAGTGTGCACAGCTTATCAATGGGGTGCTGCAGCTGCCACCTCTAGTGAGGTTCTGGGCAGGTGGATGGGGACTGCATCTGTCCATACCCACCCTGCTCACTGGACTCTCAAAGCCACCAAATACACAAACCTTTGCTGAAGGCAGAAGTGCCAAAGGCAGTGCTGCTGTAGCCTCAGTGTCCCTGGACTGCAGGATCCAGGCCAGATTAGAGCAGAAACAGATATTCTTCAGTAGATCTTGCTAATCTGGTGACAAACTTCTGGAGTGGGATTGGCTCTCACTGTGTCATTTTAGAGCATGAAGAGGATGAGATCAAGTCTGCGCATAGATGAGCTCCTTGAGAGAGGGTTTGGTACACAACCTCTTAAAAGGTTGGTTTGCAGATAGGGGATGAGTGGTTTTTTTGTTTTTCCAACATCTGAACCTCTGGAAATTCTCTTCTAAAGAGACTTATACTAAATCAGTCTCATGTTGCTAGGCTGCATGATCTCCAGCCAGTCTAGTGCTCGACCTCACTTGGATCATTTTTACACACTTAGGCCCCGTGTATTTTCTTCCCCTCGTGTCCCAGCCAGGCACAGCAGTGGGTCCTCTTACCCCCAGGAGGAGGTGAAGACCCTCAGTGAGCTGACTTGTACTCACCACTGATTGCACTGCTCAGCAGGGTGTTTCATGGGGTGGTGGCATGGATATCTTCATGACACTGGTTGTTGGGGTCCCCTGACTTCCCTCATACACGTTCTGTGGTCAGAAGGAGGCCTGGTGTACAGACCAACCTGAGTCCATGCAGCTGAAGCTTCTCTTCCTACCAATAAGTTCAGAGGAGCTCCTCAGCAGAGTCCTCTGGAAATTAGCTATGCTGACTGTCTGCAGGTCCAGGATGAGGAAGTTTGACAAAAGGAGTTTGGGCAGGTGTAAAGTCTGTTTCTGTTTCTTGGTCATCTTAAATCTCTGGTCAGTGTCAACCAGCCTTCTGAGATCTTTCTTAAAGCAGTGAGCACTGTGTGGAGCACTCTGTTACCTCCAGGTTCATACACACTTTTGTTCTGGTTTTTTAATTGTTGAGTTCTCCCTCTTTTGGGAAGCGTGCTTTCTTCTAAAAGAGAACTCATGGCCACTATTCTATTGCTTCTTTCCTCTGAATTGCCCTCCACTAAATCAAGACTTATCTTTTCTTTACCAAAATGACGAGGAGTTGTTCCTCCCAGCATTGCTTTCTTGCAATTGCAAATAGTAGGGCAGTTTCTTTCTAACAAATAGAGATTTCTGGCATATTTATTTCCTCCTTTCTGCTACTCAGATATTTTAAAAGGATTCAATGGAAATCTTAAAATATAATTCAGGTACTGTGCTTTTTCAAGGCATTGAGCGAGTTGAGAGATAAATTAATTTGTGTCACTTTACAGGCACTCCTAGATCAGTGCCAGAAGATGGAAGTGGATCTAAGCTCCGTGAGGAGTGTGCTGGATGCAGAGAGACAAGAGTCTCGTGATCTGAGGGAGAAGATGGAGCTGGAGCTAGCTGAGAGGAAGCTGTCTTCCCATCGCTTGCAGGAGGAGGTGCAGCATCTCTCGGAGCAGCTGCAGGAGGCAAGAAGAGCACAAGCTGAACTAGAGGCGAAGTGTAAAGCTGTGGAGCAGGAACTCAGGCTGGAGGTGGAAGAGAAGAAGCAGCAGCTCAGTTGTCTCCTGGTGGCTGAGCAGGAGCTGCAGCGTGGTCGTGCTGCCCTCTTGGCTGAGAACCAGCAGCTGAAGCAGGACCTGGGCCGGCTCCTGGTGCCGCCTGCGGAACACGGAGCTACAACACCCGGAGCACGGGGTGAGCAGGTTCTCAGAACCCTCAGCTTCACTGGGTTGCCTTCTCTTGGGCTTTGTTTTTATGGTTGCTCGTGGGAATGGCTTGGTATAACAATTCCCAATTGCACAGGGATGTAGGACTGGTGGTGCTGTCCCAAACCAAGGGGGTCTGGTACGATCCCACCGTTCTGTCCTTGGCATCTGCAAGAGGAGGAGCAGAAGAGCAGGGCAGCAAATATGGTGCCTTCCTTGGACACTGTCTCAGCCTCTTGTCTCTTGGGACTTAGGGATTTCTTGAGCCAGATGTATTTTTTAATTGATTATAGTAGCTTGTTGGATTTTTTCCATCAACTTATAGAAGTCCTTTTTAGATGTGCCACGTTCTTCAGAGTCTGAATTTCTACAGAAATTTTAAGTAAAACAACCAAGAAAAGCAAACTATACCATTTTCTCCATAGACCTGGATTAAAACTAATAATATTGATCTTGCTTCAAGCTCTTATTTCAAATTGATTTTCTTCCAGCTGCTTTATGGCCTGAAACTGAAGCAGTGACTAAGAGATAAGGGATCTCATAAACTACTGTGCATGTGTGTAACTTGGATGTAGTTCAGCAAAAAAGATGAGAACACACCTTAACTCCCCTTTTTCCCCTCCAGCAGATGAACTTGTACAGAAATCTGAAGAATTTGTCTGCTGTCAGAATGAGCTGAAATCCCAGTCACAAGTGCAAGTCTCTGAACTGAAGCAGCAGGTATGATATTTCCATATGATTCTCATGAAATTTTCCCATATGTTGAGGAACTGAAACCAAATGAAATGTCTAGAATTCCTTTTTTTATCATGCATTGCTTGAGAAAGGCTCTTCTTGGTTCTCTCAGCTGATGGACAGACATGTTATGACTGTGGAAGCCTAAGAAGAAGTAGGAGTTAATTTGAGTAATTTAAAAGTTGCCAATTGATTTTTTTTTTTTTGAGATTAACCAAAACATCGAAGACTAATGTGTTTTTATAAACTGTATTGAGTTTTATCTTTCTCTGCCCATCCTGTGTTTTAACAGGATAAATCAACTTCACAGGAAAAAGTAATAGATCAGGAAGATCAGAATGAGACTTCATTCCTACCCACAGAAAACTTGGAAAGACAGAAGACTGAAGGTTGTATGATTACCTTACCTATTTTAATATTCTTAAAATATTTAAAAATTATTCTAGAATTAGATTGTACAAAATAAGATATAACTGAAGTAGTAGTTTCCCCCTTGTACAAAATGGTGACAGTCTGCAGGTGGTACTTCTGGGGGGGTTATTTTTGATGGCTTTTGCTGAAATAGTAAAGGGCCCATCCATATGCCACATATAAAAAACCTCAAACAATGAAATTGGGTTTGAGTGTCTGTGCATGTGGACTGGTAGCAGCAATATCCCCACTGTCAGAATTATTCTATAAAGCAGTGGATTCCCTCAAGTGTTTCCTTTAGGGGCTGGTGCACTATGACAGTAGACTGTCGATTTTTACAGAAATAGATTCCTTTTGCTTTCTGTCATTCAAAGCTAGAACCTCTTTGCAAGAATCCTGGTGGAGAATAATCACCAATAACCCAGATTCCTGCAGTTCTGCAACATCTCCTTTCTCTCTTTTTGTTCCATGATCTCAGAGATGCAGGTCTCAATGGACTTCAAGACCTCATTTAGAATCATGGAATGGTTTGGGTTGGAAGGAGCTCATACAGATCACCCCTCCTGTGCTGGGCAGGGACATCCTTCACTGGGTCAGGGTGCTCAGAGCCCCATCCAACTTGACCTTGACCATGTCCATCGATGGGGCAGCTGACAGCTTCTCTGAGCAACCCCAAGAGAAGCAGGCCCTCTTGAAGGGCTGCAGCAAGGCCTCCCTGGAGCCTTCTCCACGCTGAACAACCCCAGTTCTCTCAGCCTTTCTTCATGGGAGATATGTTCCAGCCCTCTGATCATTCTTGTGGCTTTCTCTGGACTCACCCCAACAGATCCACGTCTGTTGTGTGCTGGGGGTCCCCAGAACTGGGCACAGTGCTCCGGGTGGAGTCTCACAAGGGCGAAAAAGAGGGTGAGAATCATCTCCCTCAGCCTGCTGCCCACACCTCTTTTGGTGCAGCCCAGGGTGTGGTTGGCTCCTGGGCTGCAGGCAGACATTGCCAGCTCCTGCCCAGTTTGTAGCTCACCAGTATCCCCAGGTCCTGCTCTCAATCCATTCACCCTGCTGGTCCTGGGCACTGCCCTTGCACTTGGCCTTGTAAAGCCTTGCCCTGCCCAAGGGCTGTGTGGCCCTGCTCCTCAGGCTTCTCTGGGGCCCTGTGGATGTCATCCTGTCCCCACGGCGAGTGAACTGTCCTGCCCAGCTCGGTGTCACCCAGGGGTGCCCCCCACCCCCATCTGTGTCACTAAACAGTGCTGGTCCCAGCACTGACCTTTGCAGGACACACTGACTGCTGGTTTCCTTGTGACCACTGAGCACACGACACAGAAATCCAGCTTTTAATCTGCTGCCATGCCCTGAGTTATGATCGAGGATATCCAAAATGCACCTGGAAAGCTTCCATCAGCTTTCTTAAAAAGCAGCTCCTTGCTCTGCTGAAAGGCATTCCCCTGAAAAATGCACTGACTCAGAATGTCATCGTCGTGTTGCTTAAAACATCTTTCCCAATGCATGTTTAGCTGCATATTTACTTCAAAACGAGGGGTTTTTGTTGTAATTGTTTTCAGTGGGTGTGCTGAGCACTTGGTTGCTGACATTTTTTTCAGATTTTAAACACGGGGAGGTGTAATTTCTTTAAAAACCCCCACTAAAATATTAATGAAACATATAAAAAGTCATCATCTTTCAAACCTGCTCTGTAGGTTCTCAATACTTTATTATTCCTCTTCATCTTGTGACAACTTTTTGTTAGTCTTATTTAAAGTGGGATGCCTAAAACTGCTCACAGTACTCCATTCCTAACCTGAATAGAATGAAATAAGGATTTATATTTATATTATAGTAAGGAATTATAGTAACCTTATATTTTGCAATTTCTGATAATTTTCAAGCAGACCTCAACAAATGCTTTCAAATAACTGTCATTGTTTGAAATTTAAAGGTTCTTGAAATCCTTGTGCAGTCTTCTAATTTCCATGGGTTTAGCAGTGCATTATACCAGAATATCTGTCGCTCTCTTTACATCCATATGGATTCTTTGAACTTGTCTTGAGGCAGCTCTTTGAGTGACTGAAGGTCTCCCTTCCTGCTACATAGGACAACATTGGGTTTATCTTTTTCTACTCTGTCTGTATGACAACAATTGTTCTTTTCTAAAAGATGTTTAAAACAGCATGCTGTTTTGGTGGTTTGCCTCTAAAAAGAACCAAACACATTATCCAATGACAGTGTTTTATATATCCACTACTTAAATGTGTACTAACAGCCACATGTCCTTTCTCTAAAGCTCCTGGAAGAACATCCTGTCATCATTAATATCATTAAGCAGAGTCTTAATTTTCAAAGAAATTTCTTGTGTTTGAATGTTTCAGAAATACCACATTTCCAGCTTGTTCTCCAGGAGCCTCAGCAGGAAGCTGTGATCATCACAGAAGATGCAAACCAGGTAAGGATTAAGCAGCTGAAATAAGCTAAAACTAAAATAGGTCAAGGACTGGCCTTAAAAACAGCTAAGCTGTGATGGCCTTTTTTTATCAATCCTCTTTGGAAAGTTATTATTAACTGGATTAATGGTGGAAGGCAGATATAGGTTCCAAATACTGCTTGCACTGGGTTTGTGTCAGACTGTTTCCCTTTGCTGCCTGTGTGGAATTCTTGTCCTTCACCCACCCAATCCATATCTGTGCTATTTTCTACCTCTTGTGAGTTACTTCTTCAGCAAAGCCATAGGCTAAACTGAGACAGGTCTCTGGGAACACAGTTCCAAAGCCTTGTCCGTCCCCACTGCCCTGATGGGCACCTGGCAGACTGACTGGAAGCAGCTGTGTGCTCCTGGAGTGGGGGCCAGGCTGATGCTGTCCTTGTCTTCTCCCACTGTGGACAGCTGCAGGTACAGCTGGAGACAGAGCTGCAGTCAGGCTGTTGTTTGGAAAAGCACAGGATTAGGGACCTGCTGCTGGGCTTCCATTCAGCCAGGGGAGGGAGATGACAGCCTCTGTGTCACTGTGCTGGGAAAGGGGTGTCAGCTGAGAGCAGGGTCTGGGCTCTGTGCAGCCAGCTCTGCTTGCAGAGGCAAAGTGCTCCAGAACTGGAGACTGTGTGGCTGTTAGTGCCCTGTAGTTACAGCAAATGTTAATTCTGAGCACTTAATTTTGTTTTCAGTCTTTCCATTGTTGGACTGGGGGTTTTTTACTTGCATTTTTTTTGGGGTGGAAGGGAGTAGTTTTTGATTTTTTTTTTCAGAGATCCTTTACTTAGTTCTGACTCGTTTCTTTGTTCTCTAGTTCAGACCTTTTCCCACAGAAGTGGCAGTAACGGTGCCAGTTGTGTGCTGTGGTGAAATATTATTGTGAATTTTATCTGTAATTTATAAAATGAAGAAATTAGTTGACAAAGTCTTAGTTCTTGTATGTCTGTCAGCAGCAAATTAACCAAATTCCTGGGCTTTATTAACATCTTTGGGCAAAAAGAGAGTCCATGTGTGTGAAGCAGCAAAATCTCCTCTCCCCTTCCAGCCTGTCACGTTCTGATCCATTTGGCACAGAAGTGTGGAGTGGTTGGTTTGTCTGTGGTGGAGCCTGGTGTAACTTCCTTGGGAAGACTCCTGGTTCTTTATCTGCTGAAGCAGTGAGGCAAACACTAACAGACACATGAAAACTTTAATTTAGTTTGAAAGCCCTAAGAGTTGATTTTTTTTTTTAACATCCTGCAGCCCAAAGGGGTTGTTGCATCACTGCAGCAGACTTTAAGAGCTGCTCTCCTTTAGTGGTTTCCCTCCAGGCTGCTGAACAGCCTTTACAACATGGTGTATTACCTTATTGGTGGGCTGCTGATCCACACTTTCTGGGGAGGGTTTGTGACTGCTTTTCTTCTGTAATCTGTTTTTGGGGATGGGAGGAAACCTTAAAATAATTATTTGGAAAAAGCCAAGCACTTTGTTCGAGTTGCTTTGTCTAGTGCTTTCACTTTGGCCATGAACACAGATTGGAATATGGGCTTCTATCCTGATTAATTGCTGTGTTAAATGGACAGATAGAATAGGGGAAAAAACCTCTTTTTCAAAGACTCTGGATAGGATGCCAGGAAATGTGGCTGGATAAGTACACTAGAGGGCTTGTGAGAATCACAGGAGAACTTAAACACTTGGGAGTCATACTGTCTTGTAATCAAGAGAGAAAGGGGAAAAAGGGAATAGGAAGTTGCCCTTACGATCTGATCCTAAAGCCAGAATCTTTCGTGCTGCAACTTCAGAAACTGAAATGAGCAGAAGTGACCTGGGGAGTCACAGAATCACAGAATAGTTGGGATTGGAAGGGACCTCTGGACATCATTCAGTCCACCCCCTGCCCCCTGTTATTGGAGAAACCAGTCAAGAGAGGGCATCCTTAAGCTACAAAATGTGGAAAGCAGATACTTCCAAAAGTGACCCTTTCACAAGATTCAAAGGAAAATTGATACCTGCTATTTTCTTTCAGGCAAGAACAGACAGCTTTCCTGATGGAAGCAAGCAGCTTACTGAGGAAGGTTGTTCACCTGGAATTCTAGAATATATTGCTGCAGAGAAACAGAAAGAACTGTCAGTTTTGCTGCTGGAACTGAAAGAAGCCCAAGAAGAAATAAACTTTCTGAAAAGCCAGCTCAAGGACCCCTCTGGCCAGATTTCTACAGGCAGCCAAACAGGAGAAGATGCTGAGCAGCTGGAAGAGAACTCCCAGGGACAGTGTCTGGAGAGGGAAGAGCAGAAGGCTTCAGATACACAGGATGAGTTGGGCAGTAGCTCATTACAGAGAGAAACAGAAATGCAGCAAATTGGCCTGTTTCAGGCAAACAGTGTCCAAGAAGAGCCCCAGGGGAGTCCTGTCTCCTGCAGGGGTGAGGGAGAGGCAATGCAAGGAATCTCTACGGCAGATCCAGAGCCTGGCGCCTCTCAGTCCCAAGAACTGATAGAGTTACAAAACCAAATTACAGAACTGCAAATAATTCTTCAGAAATCAGAAGAATCCTTTAAGAAAGATCTAGGAGAAAAAAGTGCAGAAATAAATAGGCTAAACCAGTTGGCAGAGGAATACAGGAAAAAAATAGAGGATTCTGACACTACATTTTGTGTTTTGGCTGAAGAACGAGATCGACTCCTGTGTCAGGTGAAGGAACTTTCTACCATAACAGAACTGAAAGAGCAAGTGAAGCAGCTTGAGGAAGATCTAGCTCTTTCAGAAAAGCAGAGACTGTCTGACAGTCAAAGCAGTCTTCTAAGAGAACAAATCCAGAGCCTTAAAAATGAATTTAAATCCAAGGATGTAAAAATTGAAGCTTTGCAAAAAGACTTGGATGAAGCACAACTTCAGCTTTCTGACCAGGACACACAACTAAAGGATCTGAGAAGCCAGATCGAGATGAAGGAATGTGAAGTACTTAATCTAGAACAACTTTTGAGGAAGAATACAGCAGAGATGGAAGAGCTTTCCCACGAGTTAGCCTCGAAGGGGCACGAAGCAGCAAGCCTAGAACAGCTTGTTGCTGAGCACACCAGGTCTATAGAGCACCTGGAACAAGCCTTGCTGGAGAAGGACCAACAGATGACAGAACTCAGTGTCAGCATGTCTGAGAAAATGGTCCTTCTGAATGAAGAGAAATTTTCTCTAGGAAATGAGCTGAAGAACCTTAAAGAGCAGACAAGTCTGTTATTAAAAGCCCAGGAAGAAAAAGACCAACATACAGGAGCAAAAGATACGTGTCTGAAATGTGGGGCATCTGAGCAGCAGAATGAGACAGAAGCAGTGAGTAAAGAAAGGGAAGAATTAGTAAATCAAATTGAACTTCTAAGAAAAGAAAACGAGCAGGTGAAGAGGAAACTGCAGGCAGCACTTGTGAACAGAAAGGAGCTTCTGAAGAAGGTCAGCACTCTGGAGAGGGAATTAGCACAATGGAGCAGGGAACAACAATCACAAACCTCACTGGCTCAGGCAGCTGCAGGGGAAGAAAATATGAGAAGCATGATCAGCAGAGAAGTGAGTGTGGAAAACCAGCCCAGTGAGGAGTATCTAATTCAACTGCTGTCTGAAAAGGAATCGGAGCTGCAGAGCATCCGGAAGGACCTGCAGGATAAAGAGTCTACAGAAGCACAACTGCAGGCAGTGATCGAGGAAATGAGACAAAGCCTGCAAGGTAAGGCAGACATTGTTTCAATTAAAGATGAAATCACAGAGCATCAGGCAATTGCTGACAAAGTAACTCAAACCAGTGAAAGCCCAGAAGATTATGAAGAAAATGAAAAACAGAGCTCAGCAGCTACAAATCCGGAAGAAAACCAAAAGTCTGCCCTGAAAGAAAGGATTTCAGTTCTTGAACAAGAAAAAGAACAACTCCAGAAAAAGCTTCAGGAAGCCCTGGCATCTCGCAAAGACACTATAAAAAAGGCTCAAGAAAAAGACAGGCATCACAGAGAGCAGCTGAAACAGCAGAAAGATGATTACAACATCCTCCAAGAACAATTTGATCAACAAAGCAAAGAGAAGGAGAGCATCCAAACTCAGCTCAGACAACTCCAAGAACAGAAAGGATCAGCAGAGGGTGTTCTTGGGAATCAAGGTGGATTGGATTCTTCATGCATGGAAGCAAAAAATACAACAAATAGCAAGCTTGGACAAGTTGCAGATGTTACTGAGGAAGAGTTTAAAAAACACCTTGAAAAATTGCAGATGGAGAAAGAGGAATTGGAATGTAACATCAGCCGTATGCAAAGTGAACTTGCTTGCAAATCAGAGTTAGTATTTGATTTGCAACAGCACATAGCACAATTGTTTCTGGAGATAGAAGGGCTGAAGAGAACCTCTGACCAAGCAGAGGCTAAGGCAGCAAGTCTTCAGATGGAACTGGAGGAGAGTGAAGCAAAAATTTCCAGAGAGACCAGTCTGGAAAACTGGAAAGCCCTTATGCACCAAAAGGATGAAGAAATGGAATTTCTTAACTTGCAGTTAAAGGAGAAAAGCGAAGCTCTCAGTAATGTGCAGGCACAGCTGCTGGAAAAAGAGGATTCCATCCAAAGCCTGTGCAGTCAGTTGGAAGCTCAGGCTCAGGTGCATGAGGAGCAAAGCAAGCGACTGCAAACAGAGCTGCTGGAAATTCAGGAGAAGCAAGGGGACAATGAAGAAGCAGCTAAACAGAAGAATCAAATGCAGAGAAAGCTTCAAGCTGCACTTATCTCTAGAAAAGAGGCACTAAAGGAGACCAAATCTCTAAAAGAGGAGCTGGCTAATGCTAAAACTACCATTGACAGTCTTTCTGTCAAGCTGATAAATATGGAAAGCCAAATATCTGGCCATGTTAAAGAAACAGATACTTTAACAGAAAAGTTAGCATGCCTCACTGAAGAGAGAGAAAAACTTCTTGCAGAAGTTGATAAAGCACTTATAGAAAATCAGAATCTTGATGGATGCTGTAAAAACCTAACACTTACTCTGGATGGAGTTGTTCTGGAGAAGGAGAAGCTGGAGAAGGAGGTGGAATCACTGAAATGCTCTCAAGCCACTGAGAGTTCTGAGTGGCAGGAGAAATACAAGGAGCTTCAGGGAGAGTATGAAACTCTGCTCCAGTCCTATGAGAATGTGAGTAACGAGGCTGAGCGGATTCAGCGTGTGTTGGAAACTGTCAGGCAGGAAAAGCAGGACATTTTCATTAAGCTGAAAAGTGCTGAAGCAAAAAAAGAGGAAACAGAGAAGCAGCTACAGGAAGCTGGACAGGAAATGGATGGAATGAAGGAGAAAATGAGGAAATTTGCAAAATCAAAGCAACAAAAGATCCTGGAACTAGAGGAGGAGAATGAGAAGCTTAGAGCAGAGATGCATTTTACAGGTGGGGAGCTACCCAGGACTGGAGAGGTCTTTACAAACACTGGCCTGAAAGAAGATCTGGAGTGCTGTAGGAGGGAATACCAGTCTCTTTCTACTCAGCTTGAGACAGTAATGGCTGAAAAGGAGTCTCTTAATCAAGAGATCACAGACTTAAAGTGTCTTTTGCAGTTAACAGAATCTAAACTGAAGGAAAGCAGAGAACTTGTAGACAGGGATGTTGCTCAGAAGACAACAGGCGAAGAAACAAATGAGGCAGTTGCCACACCACCACCACTGGAAAGGTCTGAAAATCAAGTGGAAATAACTTGTAAAGCAGAGTCTCCTCCTGCAGAGCTGGAACAGGAGGCATTTGAAGGTGGCAGCCCTTGTGAGGATCCTGGCACCTACAGACAGCAAATTGCTGAGCTCAGCCAGCGAATTGCAGAGCTGGAGGAGGATAGAAGGGCTTCAGAGCAACAGCTGGGTGACATCCACGGGTGTGTGGAGACTTTAGCAGGGGAGAAAAGAGCTTTAGAGCACCAGGTGGAAGAGAAAGTCCGTGAAGTGAATGCTCTGCAGGCTACAGTAGCAAAGATGGAGCAAATGGTCCAAAAAGCCACAGATGACCTTGTCAGGATGACAGAGCTGAAGGATGCGCTGGAGGCTGAGAAGGATGACTTGGAAGAAAGGCTCATGAATCAGCTGGCAGAACTTAATGGAAGTATTGGAAACTATCAGCAAGATGCAACAGACTTCCAGATCAAAAATGATCAACTGAAACACGAGCTTCAGAGTTTGCAGAGAACGGTACGTGAGCTGGAGGAGGAGAAAAGTCTGATGGCAAAGGAGAAAAGCAAAGCAAGTTCAGAAAAGCAAAAGGAATTTGTAGAAAAGCTGAAATGCAATTGGAGGGGAGAGAGCAGCACACACATAAAGGAGCTTCAAGAACTGCTGAAACAGAAACAGCAGGAGATTAAGCAGCTGCAGAAGGACTGTATTAAAAGCCAGGAAAAGAACAGTAGTTTAGAAAGAACTGTTAAAGCTCTGGAATTTCTGCAGAGTGAGACTCAGAAAGAGGTAGAAGTAGCCAAAGAGACTTCAGCAAAAGCAGTTGAAGACACCAAGAAAGCCCAGGCAGAGCTTGCTCTCTGCAGAGTGGTGCTGGATGACACACAGAGTGAGGCAGCAAGGGTTCTGGCAGAGAGTGTCAAAGTGAAAGAAGAGTTGCAGGCAAACAAAGAGAATATTAAAATTCAAATGAAGAAAAAGGATGAGGACTTTGAGAGAAGGCTGGAACAGGAAAAAGACAAGCACTCAAAGGAAATCAAAAACATGGAAGAAAAGCTGGCAGCTTTGCAGAGGGAGAAGGACCATGTGGAAACAGCTCTTGGTGATCTGCAAGGCTCCTTGAAGACAAAGGATCAGGAAGCCAAAGAACTGGAAGGCAGTCTGAACAAAGCACTAGCCCAGCTTGCAGCCTTCACTAGGAGCATGTCTTCCCTCCAGGATGACAGGGATAGAGTGATAGATGAATCAAAAACATGGGAAAAGAAATTCACTGAAACCATTCAAAAGAAGGAGGAAGAAATACGTTCAAAAGAGGAAACCTGTGTTGTGCTGAAGGACCAGGTGAAGCAGATGACCACACGTGTGGAAGAGCTCCAGACTCACATATCCAGGTAAAGAAGCTGTGCCAGGGGAGGTTTAGGCTGGAGATCAGGAAAAGGTGTTACTGTGTATTTGTTGTCTGCACAAGGGGATTAGCACCCTAAAATATTCCTTCTTCTCATCATTGAGGTCTTAAATCTATTCTCTGTGACAAGCACTCACCATCTGAGTACTATCTAGAGTCTTTAATAATCTGAAATTTGAAAGAGTTTCTTTTGCATGGAGTTGTTGCATTGAGAGGTCAAGAGAGCGTTGAGATACATAATTCCAATTTAATCTCAAAATAAATATTGAGAGATAGATGGAGCTGTGGAAACATCCCAAAATGTACATCTGTGAATTTCCAAAATTCAAAACCAAACCCTTCTTACATGAGTAAAATTGTTCTGTAAAGTTTATGTGCTGTATCTTTGCATGCTGGAAAATGAAATGGACATCAAAGGTATGAAAACAGCAATTTCACTGGGGGGGTGTTGTTTTTTATTGTTACCTAGAATGGATAAGGATTGTAATGAAAAGGAGGTGATAACATTCAATGTTTAAGCCCCTCCATTTTTTTCAATATTGACATGAACAACTTTAAAAAAATCTATTCCCCTGGCACTACCCCCTTCAGACAGTAGTGCAGTCAGAACTTTAAAAGATGCCTTGAATTTTACATTGAGGGATATTTCCATCTTGCTTTCCTAAAGTAAAACTACTTTTGTAGCTTTTCTAAATGAGTAAAAAGCCAACGTTGCTGTGCATTTGGATACTGAGATACGTCATGAATTTTTTACCAACTTTATCTTCTGTGTTTTCAGGCTGGAATGCAGCAAGAAAGACTTGGAGTCTGACTGCAGGAAGGAGATTCAGCATCACCAAAAGACATGTGAAATGTTGCAGGAGGAAAAAAAAGAGCTTTTGACTCAGCTTGAAGGGTCTCAGGAACTGTACAGCAAGTCTCAGAAAGAACAGCAGCAACTGGAGTCTGAAATCAGCAGCCTGAGAGAGCAGCTGGCTGACTTACAGAGCTCCTTCACCAAATGTGAGCTGGCCAGGGAGGAGCTGGGGAGCATGGTCAAGCAACAGGAGACCAGCATCCAGAATTATAAATTGAGCTGTGAACAGCTTGAAGCTGACCTGCAGGCTTCCAAGGAGCTCACAAATAAGTTGCATGAAGAAACTAGTGCGAAAGATCAAAAGATCATGAGCTTGTTGTCTGCCAAAGAAGAAGCAGTGATGGCTGCTCTGGCTGAATTGCAGCAGCAACACTCCGAGGAGATTAAAGAGCTGGAGCGTAGGCTGAGTAAGGAGGAAGAAGATAAAAAAGCCTTGGAAAATGAGAAGAACAAATTACTTGGCAAATTTGATCATCTGACTGAAAAGATGAAGATAAGCAGAGAAGAAAGTAAGCAGCAGAAGGCACAACTGGACTCCTTCACCAAGTCCATGTCATCCCTGCAGGATGACCGAGACCGCATCCTGAGGGACTACAGGCAGCTCGAGGAACGTCATCTGGCTGTAATCTTGGAAAAAGACCAGCTGATTCAAGAGGCTGCTGCTGAAAACAACAATCTCAAGGGAGAAATGAGAAGTTTCCATAGCCGGATGGACGACCTGAACTCCGAGAATGCCAAGCTGAAGGCAGAGCTGGTGCGGTACAGAGAGGACCTGAACCAAGTCATTTCAATAAAGGACTCCCAGCAGAAGCAACTTCTCAAAACACAACTTCAGCGGATCCAGACTCTGGAAAATGAGAAGGCGGCCATAGAAACACAGCTGAAGGAGTCTGAGCATACTCAGGACGATCTCAGGAAGTGCATGGAAGGCTTGAGGGAAGATAAAGCCAGTATGTCTCAAGAGCTTGAAACCCTTGGGTCCTCTCTGTCCCGGCTGCAGAGTGAGGTGGCAGCGTTACGGGAGGGGAGTCCCATCCTGGAGTGTCAGGCAGAACTGAAGGCCCGAGAGGAAGAGGCACAAGAACTGAGTCATAAGCTTTCCCTCTCCCAGAAAAGAATAACTGAACTTGAGGGGGAGCTAGGATGTATTCAAAGGGAGGCAGCCAAGAGAGTGGGAGAGGCTGAGGACAGGCTTCAGAAGGAACTGAAGCACCTGCACCATGATGCAGGGATAATGAGGAATGAGACAGAGACAGCAGAGGAAAGGGTGGCAGAGTTGGCACGGGACTTAATGGAAATGGAACAGAAGTTGCTTGCAGTCACAGATGAAAACAAAGATCTCAGAGCTCAAATTCAGTCTTTTGGGGGGTCCATGAGCTCTCTTCAGGATAGCCGGGACCAGGCCAATGAAGAGCTTCGTGGTTTGAAGCAGAAATACTCTGCAGACTTAGAGGAACAAAAGAATCTAGTGCACAATCTTCAGCAACAGGTGGCTCAGCTACAAGAGGAGCAACATTCCACTGCCAGGGAGCGAGATACAGTGAGGTCTGAACTGATAGAACTGCAGAAAGCCATTGATGAAAGAGGTTTCTTGGCCCAGATTGAGAGACTTAATCAGCAGCTCAGAGCCAAGGATGATGAGCTTCTCCGTTTGTCTTCGGAACTGGAAGGCTCTTCCAACCAGGTCAGATCTTTCTCCAAGGCTATGGCAAGCCTGCAGAACGAGCGAGACCGTCTGCTGAGTGAACTGGACAAAACACAAAAGGTTGAAGAAGTGAAACAACAAACAGAAGGGAGCACTTGCACCACGTCCTCGGAAGTGCAGAGTCTGAAGAAGGCACTGTCCTCCTTGCAGAATGACAGAGACAGAGTAGTAAGTTCTCTCTTCCTGCTCTTAAAGCACCATGGGAGATTTGGGTCTTCAGGTCTTTGAATTCAGCACACTTAGACCTGGTAATTGGGGTGTGACACAGAGATCACTGGCTTCATGAAATCACTGAATAGTTGAGGTTGAAAGGGATCTATAGATCTTCTAGTCCGACCCCCCTGCACAAACAAAGTCAGCTGTTTGCCCTGGACAATGTCCAGTTGGATTTTGAGTATCTCTGTTGGTGGATATTCCACAACCTCTCTGGCCAACCTGTTTTTTCCTGTGTCTGGAAATGGTTTCCAGAATTAGTTGCTCCCTTACCCTCACAGGAATGGAGATGAGGCTGACCAGGCTGCAGTTCCACAGTTCCTCCTTTTTGCCCTTCTAGTACATAGGGATGGCATTTGCTCCCTTCCAGTCTTCAGGAACCTCTTCCAGTCACCATGACTTTTCAGAGGTAATGGAATTGCCTCCTGATGACCTCAGCATTTGTGGGCATGCTCCATCAGATCCCATGGATTTGGTATGAGCCATCTGTGTTATTTTTGCTGACATATGGAAGCTGTGATTTCATTGTGAACTTCACAGAGTGGTTTCTCTTGGTAGCTTGGTTGAAAACATGAAATCATGGAAATAAGGTCCCTGTTAACCTGCTTAGTTCACACTTGTGTCAGCTGATGCATTTGATTTGCCTTGGATTTTTAAAAGAGACTGGAGCAGAGACTCGGCTCTCCTCCTCCTCTTGGCAGCTGAGTTTCAAGGCAGGTACAAGACATTGCAGCTTCCTTCAGACATCCTTGCCTGCACACTGGGTGTGTCTGTGTAGTCTCTGCACAGTGCAGCCCAGCAAGTTTGAATTCTCTTTGCTGATCAGAAAACAGGCTTTGACTGTCACTTCCCACTGCCACTCATTAAGTACTTCCCTGTCTCCAGAGTCCATCTTCAAAAACCAAGTGCAGTGATGGATTTGTAATGACAACTTATTTCTAATTCCAGCCTGACTGGAATTGGAGAGCCAAAAGGATTTTAGTTCGTCAGTTCCCTGGTTTACAGTAAATACCAACTTCAGGAGTTGTGCTTCACCCGCTCCATCTGTCCCACTGTGTTTTCCTCTAAATAAGAGAATTAATATTGTAGCCTGGAGTCTTTGTTAATGCACCTCAGATCTTCATGGGAGGGCTCAAAACTCACTGATCTCATTAACAATAGAATTCTCTGAGGGTTGTTTTTTCTGAGCTGTTTTTAGTACACTGCTGCACTTGCTGATTCAGTTTCCAGTTTCTCTGTTATCTGAATGTGACTTTTTTTTCCTCCACATGCCACAGTGAGAAATGCTCTTAAACACTTCAAAGGAATAACTCCAGCTGCTGGCTCAGCTGTCCCACACTGCTGTGTCCCTTCCATTGCAGGTGAGGGAGCTGAAGAACCTGCAGCAGCAGTACATCCTGGTTGGGGTGGAAGCTGCTGAGAATTCCCGCCTGAAGGCACAACTGCAGCAGTGGCAGCAGGAGGCAGAGAAACAGCTCCGGCTGCAGGAGCAGCTGCAGCAGGAAGGAGTTGTCTGCCAGCAGGAGCTCCAGCAGCTCAGGTGTGTTTGTCTGCTCCCTGCCCCGGGTGTTTGCTTCACTCAGAGAGCAAAGAGAGTGCTGAGAGCCTCAGCCTGGGCTGTGCCAGGTGCCACTGGGTCACTCCTGCCCTGGCCAGGACTGGGCACAGATTTCCCTCCCCCAGCTTCTGCCCCTGGATCCCAGCCCAGCAGCTTGGAGGGTAATGCCTGTGTGAAATAGATAATGACCTTTTAGTTTTGATTTCCTTTGTCCAGGGGTGGTCAGTGTCATCTAATGGAGAGGAAACTTGGGCTGTTTCTTCTATTGGAACTCATGTATGTAATCACAGAACTCTCCATTCCAAGCTGCTGCTGAACACTCTTTATTATCCCACTGATATCATAGTTTAGAAAATACTCATTTTGTATGACTGTCCAATCCTTTGTTTCACTTGCTCAGTCTTCTTTTTATTTAAAAAAGTCTGTAATTCAAGTCTAGTAAAATTGTCTTCTCCAGCTGGAGTAAAACTAGTTAGACAAATATGCTCTGTCTAGAAATAGGGAAGAATCCTTTCAGCTACCTCAGAGATACATCTAAGGATGCCTGAGGCTGGAATGAAAGGGGTGGGATTTTTTTTCTGGAAAGATCTATGGCTTATCTTTGTCCAGAGTGATACAAAAATTTGTAGTTCACCTTTCCCTTCCCCCTGCCTCCAGTCTGACCCTCAAACACTTCAGGTCTCACAAATTTTACTTATCTCCTGACAAAGGAGCGGGAGATTGATTTCCTGTGTAGCTTTTACACTGTACATGAAGTGAAGGCTCCAGGTTGGTGTGGTGGGATCAGTGCTGTGGGTCTGGTGCACGTGTGACCACACAGGGACAGTGTGCTGGGGACACGTGGCATTGCCATGACTTGCCTGACCAAACTCTGTACAGAAAGATCAAAACAATGCCTGGGAACACCAAAAGTGTGAGCATGGAACGTTCTGCAGGGTTCAGCCAAATACAGAAAACTTCCTGGTTTCAAGGTTCCTGTACTTAAATGGGTTGGTTTGGTTTAGTTATAAAACTTCATTTCTAGTATGGGATGACAATAGAATCATCCTCAGCTCATTGTCAGCTGGGTACCTGGACATCATAAGTGGTGCTGGTCACCTCCTGATCATTTCTGTCGTGTTGTGCTGGGCAGACAGGAGAAAACCACCTGGGAGAAGCAGAGCAGCAGCATGAAGGAGCAGTACCTGATGGCCTTAGCAGAGAAGGACAAGCAGCTGAGCCACTTACAAAGGATCACACAGGAGATGAGGCTGCCCTTCAGCAAGTTCCAAACTGTAGAGGAGCAGCAGCAAACCAAGGTGGGTGGAAAGACACAGATTCTTTGCTTGCATGGAAATGTGAGGCTTGAAATTCAGCCAGAGGAGGGTGTGTTACCTGTATCCAGCTCCTACAGACTCACTGTTGGATGTGGTTGTGGAGCCTCTGAAGACAGTACCAACAATCTAACTTGGATCACTGAAAGTTTTAGAAATTATGACTACCCTTATGTGCTTTCCTCCAAGTTCATTGTTCACAACATTTCAAGGCAGTGGGTGAAAGAGCAGAGCTTCCCAGGCACCTTTGGAGCAGTAGGAACTTCCCAGGGGTGTCTTTCTGGTTGTTTCAGAATGGCTTCTTGCACTGTTTTTGAATCTAAGATCTTCTGATTTAGCTCTCATTTTAATGTCACATTACAGTTTTTAAGTTTCCTATTGAATTTTTCTTGCTGTTTTTACTGTAACAGGGATCTACAACCTCTGGGCTCAAGCTTAGAGAGGCTGAGGCTTGAACACTGCACCTTTTCTCTTCTTCCCCCTGTATACAGTCCTAGAAATGGAGTGGAATATGTTTGATATTTTGCCTGTGTAGGGAAGGCTGCATGCACAGTGCATTGTGTTAGGGCTGGGACACAACTCTCCTGCCCATGGCTGTGCTGTTCCAGTGGTTTGTGTCAGTGGAGGGGGGGAGGAAATCTCCCCTTATCCCTTTGGCACACCCATGAATGTATGCCAAGAAAAAGCTAAAACAGTGCTTGTGTGATGCTTTCCAGGAGGATTCTTCAGTGCTGGCCTTCTGGTCTTTGTTGAATGAGAACAGTGTGAACATTGCTTTCTTTTTTGTTTTTCTTTTCTCATTCATGTGCCCTTTTTTTTCCTTCCTCTATTGTAAACAGCTTTAAGACAACTTTTGAGAAGGACCCCATCACATGTGCAAGCTCAGTGATCTTTCTTAACTGGATTTTCAGATGGCTCTTAGGATATTTCTGTTTATTCCCCATTTGCTCTTTTGCCTGAGCAGATCAAGTTCCAGGTCTGGGAATAATATTGGGTTTGACCTCGGAATACTGAACAGAGAGGACTGACACAAGAGTGAGTTGTCACACATGCAATATATTTTTCATTGTTCTTTCCTTGGCAGATTTCTCCAGAAGTCCTGAAAGGGGACTTTTCAAGCCTAGAAACAGAGATAAAACATCTCCAGACCCAGCTGAGTGACAGCCTGAAAGAACTGCACCAAAAAGAGCTCAGAATTCAGCAGTTAAACAGCAAGGTACTGATCATACCCTGTACGTGCTTGCAGTCTGGGATGAGGAATGTGGGAAGGCTGGAATAGGGTTCAGGGAGCAGGAATGAATCTGTCCTTGTTGGCATTCAGTGAAGTAACACAAAATCAGAACTATGTCTCTCAACAAGGCAGTGGTGGAACCACACTGATGCTGTTGCTGAACGGGGCTTGCCCAGCACTGGGGCCCATCCTCCCTCTCCCCATTGCTCTCCCTCAGAGAGTGACTGGGAGGGTGGTCAGAGCATGGGGGAGAGAGGCCGTGGCTGGGGCAGCTGTCCTGGGTGGACCACAGGGATATTCCAGGCCCTGTGTAGATCCCATCCAGCAGGGTCTGAATCAGCAGCTTTTCTGCCACTGAATTTTAGTGCCCTTTCTCCTAAGTGACCAGAGGGAGAAAGAAGGAGGGAAGAGGACAGGGGAGGAAAGAAAGAAAGGAGAGAAAGGGAGGTGGGGGAGAGAGGACACAGAGAGGGGACAGTGGGAGAAGGGAGCTGGGTGGGGGGAGAGGAAGACCAGCCAAAGGGACCTGAGAGCAAGATCATGTGAAGAGATTTGTTTCCAGGTTCCTTGTCTATTGTTTGGAAGCATTTTCTATCCTCCTGCTTTCTGGGCTGCTGAAGGAAGTCCCTCTTTGGGAAGGCAAGCTTGTCATCTTCACTGCTGCCTGCCAGCTTGGAACAGTTGCTGTGTCTCAGTGCAGAATCACAGTCAGTCGATTCCCACACTGAAATGGGAGACCCAGGATTTATCAATCCTCAGAAAGAGAGTTGCATTCAAGGAGAAAGTGAGGATATAAAATCATAATTTATTGATGATATTTCTGAAAGGTTTAGGTGAATCTCAGCACTTTATGTTGCTCTGGACACGTAGTGTTCTGTACATCACGTGGTGTTTTGGGGCTCCTGTTCTGGAAACCTTGGCCACAAGCTACTCTTGGGCGTTGTCACTGGCCTTTGGGCCTTAGTGACAGGCACTGTGGCAGCTCCATGTCCTCAATACAATTCTTACCCTCAGTTACACAGAGAAGAATTTTGCTTTCCCAAAACTGAGTTCTTTGCTTGGCGTTTGTGTTCTGTTCTCAGCTGTCTCAGGTCTTTGAGGAGAAGAACGCCCTCTCCCTCCAACTGCGCGGGAGCGGCCGGAGCGTCTGTGAGAGCCACCAGCACTACAGCGAGGTCCTGAGCCGCTGCCTCGTGCTGGAGAAGCAGCTCCAGGAGCTGCAGGCTGCAGACAAGGGCACGGTGAGGGGGGTGGGCTTGGGGCATGGCAGGGAAATGCTCATTGCATGTGGCTCTGCTAACGGTGCAGCACTGTGGCTGTGTCTGTGCTCTTTGCTCAGTGCAGTGTGCAGCACACTCCTGCCTTCTTTCAGGAGCTGTTTGCAACAGATGCAGCTCCAGGAGCACCCCAAGAAAAGAATGAGCCGCAGAGAGGCAGTTACACACCTGAACTGCAGGAGCTGCAGCTGAGGTAAAGAAAGCCTGAGAAAACAGGGGTGGGGATGTTGATCCTGATGGAGCCCTAGTGATGAGTTATTGCTGTTACTTGGTATCAGTGTGTTGGGAAAACTCAGTGGCACCCTCGGATCTTGTGAACTGGGAGGAACTTTGTGTGCACTTGGCAGCTGTCCTTAGTTGTCTCTGGACAGAGCTTCAGAAACCACAGTGACAACATGCAGCAGCAATGCCAGCCAGGCCTGGGGCTGGTGGGCTGCATCCCCAGTACCTGCTGAAGTAAACCCAGGGTTCTGGTCTCAAGGCTGTAGCCTGAGAGTGTCTGGAATTGAGACCTAGCACGTGATTCCTCATAACATTCTGGAACTAAGATCTAGCACGTGATTCCTTTCAAAATAATTTTCAGAAGGTGGGGCCATGGATGACAGAGCCAAGGAACTCCTTCCTGATGTGAAACAGAAGCTTTAAGAAATTTGTCTTCTCTCATGCTTTCCAAATAATTTAAATGTATTAAAGACAACGTATTAAAGTCTTCTGTGAGAGGTGGGAGGTAATTTGAGTCTGTTCACATCAGTGTATACAACAGAAACAGAATAGTGCACAAATTGGGCCTTTCTTGGCATATGCTTGGTTATTTTCTGCCAGGTTGTCCGAAACAGAACATTTACACAGCAGCACAAAGCAGGATCTGAGGTATCTGGAGGAGCAGCTGGAGGAGGAACGGGACCGTCGCCTTGCTGCAGAGGAGGCACTTTCTGCAGCACAGGATCAGATCAGGAGGTGAGGCAGCTTCAACAAACAGGCACCACCACCAGAGAAGTGTGATGGTTCCAGCTCAGTTCTTCATCTGCACCTCATCACATCCTTCTGTCAAATGGGGGCACAGAAACGACTGCACTGTGTCTGTCACTGAATCACAGAAAGGCTGAGGTTGGAAGGGGTCTCCAGAGACCATCTGGTCCAGCCCTCTGCTCAGATAGGGCTCCCTAGAGCCAGTTGCCCAGGACCATGTCCAGATGGCAGTGGAATATCTCCAAGGAGGAAGACTTCACAACCTCCCTGGGCAACTCGTGTGGTGCTCAGTCACCTGAACTGCAAAAAAGTGTTCTGTGGAGTTCAGGAAATTCAGTTCTTCAGTTGTAGGCAGAGAGAATCAGACAAATGACTGGACATTAAGACAAATTCTGTCTAGAAATGAGATGCTAGCTATCTCAGTTAGTTAAATTAACTACTGGAAAATATAATTTGGAGACTGGGAATTGGGCACTGGCAGAAGAGGAGTTCTCCTGCTGCCAGGGAATTTGTCTGCTCAGTAAGCACCTGTGTGTCATGCAGAAAACAGTCTTGACTTGAAGAATTGTCACTCAATTTTAATGTATTGCCGATTAACATAAACTTTTCATTAATTTGGTCATTAAGAAACAGTCACACAATGAGGAAAAACACTTTCCCCCACCTTTACCAGGCTCAGCTTCAGCCTAGACCCCTCTCCTGCCCCCTCTGCAGCACCCAGCACCTTGTCTGCACTGCACAGGGCACTTGGGGCACAGGGCACTTGCCTGAGGGGCAAGTTCAAAGTGCTTGTTTCCCCTCATTGACTATGGAGGTGGGTTTTTCACATGACCTGATTGTAGGCACTTGAGCTGTGCATTTCGTTGTAGTTCAAATAAGCCTCACTGGTGGAGTCTTTTACAAGGAAACAATGGGTTGCTTTCTGGCACACTTGCTGATTTGGCCAAAAAATAGTGATCTGTTTGGAGGAATTCTGGATGCAGTTCCCTGGTAATTGCTGCACAACTTGGACAAGTGTAGCTCCTTCTGGCATTGAAGTCTCTGAAAGCCTCCTGTAGCTGATCTCACTGAAAAATGGTAGCCCCAGGATGTGCCTGTGCTGCCTCTGTCCCTAGGAAATACTTCTCAAGAACCAGCACTATTGCAACCAGAGCTGGCTTCCAAAATAATTGCACAGAATTTGAACCCCACAGTTGTATCACCTGCCCTGGCTCCTTTCAAGTCACACTATGACATTTCACTTGAAGGATTCCTGCTGGTTGGGTTGCCCAGTCCTTTTGCTCAACATGAGCTCAGGAGGCACCAAGGCACCACAACTGTACAAATGGAACCAGCTGTTGTCCAGTGAGGCCAGGGCTTGCCTGTGGGGGTTGAGTCCTTTTTGGAGAAACACCTCCTTTCCTAAGCTTGATTCCAGTCCTGGTTTGTGGCATCATAAGAAACTGATTTCCTGTTTGTTGTGGCAGGTTGCAGTCGAGCGAGTGGGCGTCTTCCTTAAGTGCCAGCATTGATATGACTCCAGGTCATGAACAGTCCCTGCTGATCGACTCCATGGATAATAATTCCAGCAGAGTAAGAACTTCACATTCACAGCTGTCAATTGTGTAAGCCCTGACTGATCCAAGAAACTGTGAACCCACAGCAGCTCAATCCCTCTGTAGGCACACACAGAACTGTCAGGGGCTGTGCAGGTTTCTGCTCTTGGCTTGCTCTGTCTTCCATGCTGGAGACAGAATTGGATAGGGGTGGGTCATGGAAAACCTGCAGAGAGCAGGGGAAGGAGAGTGTTTCATGAGGATTGCCCTAGAGGTCAGATCTGACAGTGAAATGACTTTGAGAAGGTTTTGTGCTTGTTAGCTTAAATTTATCCTCATGGTCAGAGAGCTCTGGGTGAAGGCAGCTGGGGACACAACCATTCCTTGCACTGACTGGTCTCTCTTGACTCTTCCAGGCTCGGAATACCCTTGGACTGCGACGCCTGTTCCGCTCCCTCTTCCATTCCCGGACCCGCTTTCCTCTGCTGGTGGCCTTGTACCTGCTTGCTCTCCATGTCCTGCTCTTGCTGTGCTTTACAGGCCACCTGTGAGCAGGAGGGACAGGCTTCTGTAGAGCCCCCTGTGCACTGAGGGCCTGCATTCCCTGTGCAGGGACAGCACTTCTCCCAGCTGCCTGCTCTCCCAAAGCAGCCCTGGAGCAGAGCTGCCCCCAGCACTGGGTGCTGCTGTCAGGGTCAGTGCTGCTGCTGGGAGCTGCTCCTGGGACATTGGCCATTCCCTCGGTGTCTCTGCAGGAGTGGTTTGTTTTCTGAGCCAGGGTCATGCTGCAAACTTTCAAGGACATTGTCTGCTCCTGTACCTGGAAGTAGAACCACTCATTTTAGATAGTATTGTGCTGTGGTAGGAGTGAGAAAAATATTCTTGAGTTGCTGCAGTACTTCAGCACTTCCTAGAACTGCAGAATCTTCCCCCTCTTAGGCTGAATCCATGAGTGGGGTTGGGGAAACCCTGTAGCTGGATGTAGGACAAAGAATTGTCTTCCCTTTCTTCCATCCCTTAAATTTGCTCCATGGCTCAGTGCTGTCTGAAATGCATATCCTAAGGAAATTGTGGGCACTTTAGGTAAA